AGGGTTGTGCCCCCGCTCAGTGTACCTTCTCCGACGGCTCTGCCGCAGTGGCTGAGACTGCTGCTGCAGCGCAGGCCCGTTCTGGGAAGGGCCGCCGCCCCAAGGCTGGGCGCGGCGGAGGGGGCGGCGGGGGTAGTGGTGGGGTCGGGTCGCCTGGTGCTGGAGCGGACGAGGGGACCCTGCCCAGTCCAGCTGAGTCGCCGCCCCTGCAGTTGCAGCAGCCGCAGCAGCCGCCGCAGTCGCAGCCTTCGCAGCAGCTGCAGCAGCCGTCGCAGACGCGGCAGACGAGTGTTCTCCCGCCAGGGTGGCCCGGCGCTGGCGGTGGACGGGCGCGTGGTGGTGTGCCGCGTGGTGGCTCTGCCGGCGGGCGTTGTCAGTACCAGATCCAGACCGGTCCTCGCCGCGGCTTCGTCTGCGGTAAGATCGGTCACTCCACTCCCCGCTGCTTTCGTCGCCTGGACGACCTCTTTCGTCAGCGTTTCGGCCCGTCGCCAGACCTCCCGGACTGGCACAGTTTGCTTAGTCGTCAGATTCAGATCTTTGATATGGACATGGATGCCATTGTTTCTGCTCTGCATGTGATGTATGCTGATGACTCTAGTGTGCTTCCGACTTATTACTCACTGTTGCCTAGTGTAGGTGTGCCTAGCTTCGCCTCCCCTGTTGCGTCAGGCGTAGGATCCCCTGCTTTGTGTAGTCTTGGTGCTTCTGCCGTCGTTCCGTCGCCAGACCCCTCGGCTTCGCTTTCCTTCACCTTGGACTCTGGCGCCTCTCGGTGTTTCTTCCGCGACTCCACCACCCTGACGCCGCTTCCTGTTCCTGCTGCCGTTTCTCTTGCTGACCCCTCCGGCGGTCCGGTAGTCGCCCGCAGTTCCACCACCCTTCCCTGTCCGGCGGTTCCTTCGGGCTCTCTTACAGGTCTGCATATCCCCTCGTTCTCCAGGAACCTAGTTGGTGTCGGCTGCCTCCAGGACCTTGGCGTCACCACTACGTTCCCTGGTCACGAGCGGTATGCTGTCTGTACCGAGGCCGCCACTGGTGCCCCCCTGTCCACGTTCCCCCGGGACCCGGTGTCCGGCCTGTTCACTCTGGACACCGTGCCCCCCCCGGCTGGAGCGCCCCCTCAGGTGGCTGTGTCTCCCCAGGTTGCTGCTGCCTGCTCCTGTCGCTCCCTCACTCACCCGACCCTCCTGTGGCACCACCGCCTAGGTCACCCTGCGCTCCCGCGTCTGCGTCACATGTCCCAGCACGGTCTTGTCCTTGGTCTCCCAGGTTCACTCCCCGCGTTTCCCTCCTCCCCAGCTCCACCTTGCACGCCTTGTGTCGAGGGTCGGCTTCGCCGTGCCCCTCACTCCTCCTCGTTCCCCCCTACCGCCGCGCCGCTGCAGACCCTGCACCTGGACGTCTGGGGCCCCGCCCCCGTCCTTGGGCCGCGTCGCGAGCGCTACTTCCTTGTGCTTGTCGACGACTTCACTCGTTACACCACAGTCTTTCCCCTGGAGCGCAAGGCCGACGTGCCTGGCGCCCTCATCCCCTGGCTTGTCTCTGCGCGTGTCCACCGCGGTCTCCCTGTCTTGCGTCTTCACTCAGACCGTGGTGGCGAGTTTGCCTCAGGTGTCCTTGGTCGCTTTTGTCGTGCGGAGGGCATCACCCAGACGTTCACCCTACCGGACTCCCCACAGCAGAATGGGGTCGCTGAGCGACGCATCGGCTTGGTCATGGAGGTCGCTCGCACCTCCATGGTCCATGCCGGTGCACCCCATTTTCTGTGGCCGTTCGCTGTGCGCTACGCTTCTCACCATCTTAACCTGTGGCCGCACCCTCAGCAGCCGCAGGTTTCGCCGACCCGTCTGTGGACTGGGTCTCCTGGTGACGCGTCTGCGTTCCACGTCTGGGGCTGCCTTGCTCACGTCCGTGCCTCCGGCACGGACAAGCTCACTGCCCGCACCCTTCCCTGCGTCTTCCTCGGTTTTCCCCTTGACGCGTCCGACTGGCACTTTTACCACCCGCCGTCTCACCGCTTCTTTCACTCTCGTGACGTCACCTTTGACGAGTCCGTCTCCTACTACCGCCGCTTCCCCCACCGTGGTCCCCCGGTTACCCCCCCCTTGTTCCTGGTCACCCCTTCCCCGGTAGTCCCTGCCCCTCCTCCTCCTCCTCCCCGTCCCGCCCCCTCTGGTGTCTCCCACGTCACCCCCCTTCCGTCCGTGGACCCGGTTGAGGAGTCTTCTGCCTCTGGTGGCCCTCCGGTGCAGTCCTCGCCGGCCACCCCTCCCCAGGTGTCCCCTCCCCTGTCCCCTCCTCCGCCGTCCCTGCCGCCACTGCAGCCGTCGCCGTCGCCGCCGCCGCCGCCGCCGCCGCCGCCGCCGCAGTCGCAGCCCCCGTTCGCTGACTCTGGGGGTGCTCGTCCCGATCGCCCTGAGGGTGGTCCCTCTGGGGGTGCGGGTGTGGAGAGTGCCGGTGGTAGCCGAGGAGCAGCTTGCGGTCCAGGTGTCGCCGTTGTGCCGCCGCAGCAGCAGTCCCCGCCGGTGTCCGCCCTTCGCCTGCTCGGCCTTCCGTCCCCCGACCCTGCGTCGGTTCCTCCCCGACCGTCTCCTCCTCTTCCTGTCTACGGCCCTGTTTTCCCTCCGCCGGACTCGTCCCCAGCCCGTCTCTCCCCTTGTTCCCCTCCTGTGTCCCCTCCCCTGTCTCCTGACCCGACTCCTCCATCGCACGTCTGGTCTCACCGTCCCTCCCGTGCTCGTCCTGCCTCGCCTGTCCTGCGCTCCCACCCTATGTTGCTTCGTTCACACGCGTCTCGTCCTCCCCTTCTGCCGTCGCCTCCTCCGTCCTCCCTTGTTGTTGCGCCCCCCCCCGCTGTCCGACTACCTTCGTGCCGCTCGTCCTCTCGTTCCTCGGGTCCTTGCCTCTCTCGTTACCGACCCGTCTGTTCCAGTCTCGTGCCTTGACGCTCTTGTCGCTGCTGTCGCTGACTTCGCCTCTACCCGCCGCCTTGACTACGCCACCGCTCTGGTCTCTGACCCTGCCTGTCCTCCGTCTGTCGGGGGTGCTCCTGCCCTTGGCAGTGACGTCCTGGAGGACCGCCAGTTCGAGCTTGCTTTCCTCTCCGAGGCTGCTCCCCATCTCTGTTCCATGCTGCTAGTCCCTGAGGGTGACCCAGACGCTTTCGACATCCCGACCCCTCGCACTTACGCTGAGGCGACTTCGGGACCCTGGGCCTCGCAGTGGATAGCGGCCATGGAGCAGGAGATGGCATCTTGGAGATCCACCGGCACCTTCGTCGACGCAGTTCCCCCACCTGGGGTGAACGTAGTCGATGGCCGCTGGCTCTTCAAGGTGAAGCGCCCTCCTGGAGAGCCGCATGTCTTCAAGGCGCGCTATGTGGCTAGAGGCTTCAGTCAGCGCGAGGGGGTGGACTTCTTCCAGACTTTCGCTCCGACCCCGAAGATGACTACTCTTCGGGTTCTGTTACACCTAGCTGCTCAGCGTGACTACGAGCTTCACTCCCTTGACTTCTCCACTGCCTTCCTTCAGGGCAGCCTACACGAGCAGGTCTACCTGCGCCGCCCTCCGGGCTTTACTGGCACCTTCCCTCCTGGGACCCAGTGGCTCCTACGGCGCCCCGTCTACGGCCTGCGCCAGGCTCCCCGTGAGTGGCACGACACTCTGCGTGCTACGCTTGCTGACCTGCAGTTCTTTCCGTCTTCTGCAGACCCTTCACTCTTCGTTCGTGCTGGCCAGACTCCGTTCTACATCCTCGTTTACGTCGACGACCTGGTCTTTGCCACAGCAGACAGGGACGCGCTGGCCTCCGTGAAGGCAGAGCTGCTGAAGAGACACACCTGCACTGACCTTGGAGAACTGCGCCGTTACCTTGGCTTGCAGATCTCCAGGGACAGAGCTGCGCGCACCATCACCCTGACTCAGTCACACTTGGTGCGCCAGGTCCTTCAGAGGTTCAGCCTTCAGTTCTCCTCTGCACAGCCCACCCCTCTGCCTGTAGACCACAGGCTCTCCGCTCTAGTGCCTGAGGAGTTGGTAGAGCCCAGCGGCCCCTACGCAGAGCTGGTGGGTTGCCTCATGTACCTGATGACTTGCACTCGCCCAGATCTCGCATACCCTCTCAGCATCCTGGCTCGCTTTGTGGCCACAGGCAGACACCGACCGCAGCACTGGTCTGCCGCTAAGAGGGTTCTGCGTTATCTTGCTAGTACATCGGGCATGGGGTTAGTGCTAGGAGGACGCAGGCCAGCGGTCCTTACTGGGCACACAGACGCTTCGTGGGCAGACGACGCTGAGACACTCCGGTCTACCCAGGGCTACTGCTTCAGCCTTGGCTCAGGTGCCGTCTCGTGGAGAGCTACTCGCTCCTCGTCTGTTGCACAGTCCAGCTGTGAGGCTGAGATCTACGCCGGTGCCATGGCGGCACAGGAGCTCCGCTGGCTGACCTTCTTGCTCACTGACTTAGGTGAGCGGCCTAGCTCTGCCCCGGTCCTGTTCGCTGACAACAGGGCCATGATCCTCCTGTGTCAGGAGCCTCGACTCGAGGGCAGAGCGAAGCACATTCAGCTGCGGTACTTCCTCCTGCGTGAGCTACAGCAGCGACGTCAGCAGGGCCTACTTTTGGATTTTTACTACTCTGATATTGGGGAGTGACATTTCGCATTACTCTGAAAATCAGAGTGCATCCTCACAGTTTCTCTGATTTGCCAGGGTTTTTTTCCATTTTGAAAATTTTACACTGGTAGTGCAGAGGGGAAATTTCCACAACTCTGTGCTGCTGTTGTGCACCCTGACAAAGGTTGATTGAGGGAATTTTGTGGTTGGTCCGATCAGATAGACGTACGTTTCATTTCAAATACACATACATTCTACCGTGTCGGGCGCTTCCAACTTGTCTAAAGATGCATCTACCATGTCAAGCTACCTACTCATATGCTACTCTGTCTTGACACGCTTTGGGCGACGGGGCTTGTACACCATTGACAAAGCGACGAGAAAGATGGGGATGATTGTTCCGGTGTAGTACATGCCACTGTAGGCCGAGTATGCGCCTGATAGTGTCATGACCTGCACATATACAGCCACAGCAAGCACACCCACATGAAAAAGAGGCAGTGAGCAGAAATCAGCAGGCAGCACGAGGCATAGGTAACATTGACCATCACTGCAGCAAGGTGGTTTGTTTGAGCGCCAGTGGGTATATAGCAGAATATGCAGACTTACACAAAAGGCGCTGGCCATGTAGCTGCACGCAAAGATGCTATACAGCGTGTGCAGCACTGCCACAATACGGTGGGCGATGGTGCCCTTGGGGATACCACTGGTGAGCTGGTAGATGGCTGCAAGAGGAGAAACAGAAATGAGAGATGGAGGGAGGGAGAGGGATATGGGAGAGAGATATGTGACAGGAGTGCAAACCAGTTAGGGGAAGAAGGGGGAAGAGCTAACGTAAAGGAGAAGTTTCACTGGCGGGAAAGAAGGAATGGGAACGAGATGGCAATGGAAGTGGGGGCGAAAATTGTGCATGCTACAAACGTCTTTCCGGTCTGTTTGCTCGTTTTCTGCAATCCCAGTTGACAGCTCCATTGGAGCGGTAGCTGTGGCTCAACTGGAGCGGTAGCAACTCGACGGAGAAAGTCGAGCCTGCTAAGAGGGAGCGATCTAGGAGTTCGCAGAAGGACAGACTCGTCGCCACCGCCATCGTCGGGCTCACTCGTGCCAGCCATGACGCCAGTGGCACGAGTGACGACGGGCGGCAGCGACGGCGAAGGTAAGCAGAGGTTTTCTTCTGCTAGTACGGTGTGAGAGATAGATTTGGTGAAGGGGAGGAAGGGAAGGTTGAACAAGACGAGGGTTTCATCTGCTCTTCTTGGGGGTGAGTGAATTGTGGGGTGCCTCGGAGTGGGTGAGGGAGTGAGGTCGGTCGTGCATGCATGGATGGTGGCTAAGGTCGGTGTGCGGTGGTGAGGGAACTGCTGCCAGCCTTGCAGTGATGCTGCAGTCGTGACTAATCAGCGCAAAGGATGCTGCCAGCAGTGGCAAGGATGGCAGCATATGACGTGCCACTGCCTGGCGGTACGCGTAAAATGACGCGTATTGCAGGATATTGGGGCAAGGCCAGGTACAGGGTACAGGGGAAATCTACAGGTATACCCCCTATACACTAACCCTCAGAGGGGTACAAATGGTTACTCTGATATAATCAGAGTAAAATAAAACCTCAATTTTCTTCCTCAGGGCACCTAGAGTAGTTTTCAAAAATGACTCTGATTTTCAGAGAAAAAGAGTAAATTACTCTGATAAAATAGGTCTTGGACGTCAGGCTCGCGTAGTACACTTGGCCTCAGGTGCCAACACGGCTGATATCTTTACGAAGGCGCTTGCGCCTAAAGATCATCAGCGGCACTGTGTACAGCTTGGTCTAGTTCCTGTAGCCTCTCACTTGCTAGGACCTTGACTTTGTACTGTCCTTTATATGTATACTCAGACTGGACTTGTGTCCTCTCCCAGTGGCTGGACTAGTAGTGCCGCCCTGCTCTTGTGCTTGCCTTGTCTGTACTCCTTCTGACCGGTCGCTCAGACCCTTGCCTCAGAGGTTGGACTAGTAGTGCCGCCCTGAGCTGCTTGTTTAGGGTATTCCCCTATGCAGTCTAGGGGGTGTGTCAAACATGTGTATTTGTCATGTTTGTATAGACTGTATAGAGTCACCTCTTAGAGGTTACAAAACTTAGATATATTTGTGTGTACTCTCACTTTACATTCATTCAATTTTTCTGATACATAAATCTCTGAAAAATCAGAGTCAAGTGCAAAAAAAAGTCTTCTCAATCAGAGTACACCCCCAAAAGAAGTCTGAAAAAGTCTGAATCATAATAAAAAGTCTGCAATTTGGGGGCTTGGTGCACACAAGCAAGGCCTATTTGCAGGCAAGAACCAGACCTGCTCAGGCCCGGCCATGCCACTCGATACGGGCCTTCACACCTGTACACATGGGGCAACATTGGACGGGTCAGATCAGAACTAAACGCCGCTCTAAACGCGAATGCGCGCGGTTCCGCACGGGGCCTACCTCATGCGTCGCCCGGCTGGGCGGATTCCTGAAGTGCCGCCTGCGGATGCGGAGGCCCCTGCTGGGGCAGCTGAGGCGGATGCTGCGGCTGAGGCTGCGGCTGAGGCTGCTGCTGAGGCTGCTGCTCGTGCTGCGGCTCAGGCTGCTCCTCGTGCTGCGGCTGAGCCTGCTGCTGGTGCTGCAGCTGAGGCTGCTGCTGGTGCTGCGGCTCAGGCTGCTGCTGGTGCTGAGGCTCAGGCTGCTGCTGGTGCTGCGGCTCAGGCTGCTGCTGGTGCTGCGGCTCAGGCTGCTGCTGGTGCTGCGGCTGAGGCAGCGGCTGGAGCAGCTGCACTGGCGGCTGATGCTCTGGCTGATGCAGCGGCTGGAGCTGCGGCAATGTTCCATGGCACTGCTGCTGCTGCGCGGGCTGCTGCTGCGCGGTCTGCTGCTGCACGTGCTGCTGCTGGGCGGGCTGCTGCTGCAGCAGAACCGGCACCTGAAGCATGGTCGGATGCTGTTCGCGAACCTGCAGCTGCTCTCCCCCCTTGTCGCCAGGAGCCGCAGCACCTACCACGCCAACATTATCGGCAGAGGGCGCTGCAGGCACCGTGTGCCCCACGGGTGCCGCGCCCGCAACGGACTGTGCACGGACGGCAGCGGCGATCACGAGGAGGGCGTCAACGACCTCCTTTGTCTGCCGCTCGTTTTGTGCGACCAGCCTGTCGAAGCCCGCGTCAATAGCATCCTTGCAGACCGCCGCATGGTGCGTCGCGGCGTCAAGGGTGGTTCCCCGTCGCCGCCGCCGACGGCCGGATGTCGGGGTTCTCATGGATCCTGGGAATGGGGTGTATGCATGCAGCACACGCATGCACGCCAGTGCAGCACACGCACGCACGCCATGCAGCACACGCACGCCCGCCCGCCAGCACACGCACGCCCGCCCGCCAGCACACGCACGCACGCCCGCCAGCACACGCACGCCCGCCCGCCAGCACACGCACGCCCGCTCGCCCACCAGTGCACGCACGCCAGTGCAGCACATCCGCGCGCGCAACCACACACAACAGCACATAATATGCACACACGCATGCACGCACGCACCCTCACACAACAGCAAGCACGCTGTGAGACGCGGATGCTCGAACTACGTCGACAGGGCCAAGCGGCGGCAGGCAGCAGGAAGAACAGGCCAATTAGGGCTTACGCGGGAGAGGTACCCACCTGTGACGGTGCCCGCCGAGCGCGGTCGGAGGGTGCCACCGCCAGCTGCTCGGCCCTCGCGCTGGGCGGCTTCATCCGCGGCCCTCTCTGCATTCCACTTCATATCTAGGTACTGGCCGACCAATGGCCGCCACTCGCCGGTCAGCACTCCGTTCTCGAGCGTCGGTCTCCCCCCATTCTGCCTCCACGCTTGCTGCAGGTTGCGCCACTGTTTCTCCAGGGCGGAGGGGCTCCGGTTGAACGCAGGCCAGAACCCTCGGATGTAGTCGTGGAGGGCCTCCCAATACGGCATGCCATGCAGGCCTCCTTTCCGGGTGAGCTCGTTGAATGTCTGTACGCGCGCGAGGGCGAGCGTGTGCAGCTCATCCTCCGTCCACAGAGTTCCGGAGGCCGGGCTTGCAGCGAGCTTCTTGTCATCTCTTGACCAGTGGGGCGGATCGGCCGCCTTCGCCTTCCCCTCCGCCGCCACCTTCGCCACTGCCGTCCTCGCCTCCCTTGGCTTCGGCATCGCCCTCGGCGTCACCATCGGCGTCACCTTCGGAACCGCCTTCGCAGACGCCGTCACCTTGGGCTGCGACCTCTGCTTCTTCATCGCCCCCATCCCTGCGGCACGTGCCTGCGCCCGCGCCACACCGCACGCCTTCCGCACCAGATTAGCCGCGTGCCTCCCCCCCCCCCCTTCGCGGAACTCCCCCTCCTCTTCCTCCTCCTCCTCCTCCTCCTCCTCATCCTCCTCATCCTCCTCCTCATCCTCCTCCTGCTCCTCCTCCCCCCCGTCAGCATCCACCTCCTCCCCCTCCTCTCCCCCCTCCCCCCCAGTGTCATCCTCGTCGCCGTCCTCCGCATCCTCCTCTTCCGCCTCGTCCGTAGCGCCCCCTTCCCCCCCCCGCGCACGCCCGAGCCCCTTGTTCATTCGCGCATCCACCCCCGTGCCCGTCCCATCCCCCTCCCCTCCTGCGTCGTCGTCGTCATCAGGGACCTCCACCGTGTCGCGATCGCGCTCATCTTCGTCTTCGCCGTCGTCGAGCGTGTGCACACCCTCGTCGGCGTCGCCATCTGCCGCGCCGTGCAGTGGGGCGTACTCCTGCACGCCGTCGTCGTCATCGTCGTCCGGCGTGGCGGACTCGGCGGCCGGCATCCGTCGCCCGTCCGCCCGCGCGCCGCGCTTCCGTTTCTTGTCCTTTGAAATCTGCGGCCCGCCCCCCCTCCCTGCATCGGAGGTTGTGCGCACGGAGCCCTCGCCTCCCACTGCGGCGCCGACGTCAGTGTTGATGTGTGCCGCGAGGAAGGGGTTCGCATGCACCGCGCTCGCGGCGGCGCCCCTGGGCACGGTGGTGCGGCCGCCTTTCATGGCGCCTAGTTTCGGACTTTTCGAGTGGGGACAGGGTGCTTCTAACAGGCGCGGGACGTCGTGATTTTTACTCCGACGACCGCGCGATTCTAATTGCGCCTATTGCGCGGCTCTCTCTGCGACGCTATGCTCGCGTCGGTGCCGTTGCGCGGCTATCGCCACGGCGTGCGCCTGCGTCACTCATGCTTGGAGTAAGTGAGGGCGCGTTACTAGTTGGACAAGATGGGAGAGTTGCAGTTTCGGAAGACCAGCGCGTTCGAATGACTCCACCTGTTTGATCGCGGATGGTCAAAATACTGGCAGTCAAGACGGGGGTCGATTACCCGGTTTGTCCAGTGTCGTTCAAGACCCCGAAATCGCACATCGGGAATTCGGCGACACAAGCGAATTGACGAAATAAACATGGCAGCCAAACAAATCCGCAACTGAATCGCAATCACTTCCACGGGCACAATGCCAAAACAAATTGCGATCTCGACGAAAATAGCGGGAGCAGTTTTCGGGAGCCGATGTTCGCCACGATCGGAAAGCGCAGACTCGGTACTTTTGTTGCTATGGACGATCGTGGGGGTCGGGATCTCGATACATGCGTTCGTCCTGGTGGAGCGAGAAATCCGGGCCTCTTAACCGCTTTGGTACATTTCTGGGGTTTAAAGATATTACAGCAGGGTAACCACTTCCAAATTTTAAACGTTCAAAACTTGAAGCCGTCTTGGTCCAACTTATAACGCGCCCTGAGCATGCCTACGATTCCTTACTGGGGCTCGCCACAGCGAGAACACGCGAACCTCTTGGTTCTTAGTCTCTGCCCTCAAGTCACGCGCCAAACCATTGGACATCGCTGAGATTAATTGCACGGGCGTTGCCGATACCGTCAGATCCTGTCCGATGGACGGCTGGGATTGGCCGGTCCTCCCCTTCCCTGGTCGTAGACGGAATTATTTCCCGTCGAAGAGTGGGCGACGTTTTCGCCGTGTTTTTCGGATATGTTCGTTAGAGCTTTCGTAATTTTCTGGCGTTCTGACGGAGTCTTCGGATTGGCTTTGAAAAAAACGAAGGCTTCGTCACGATGAGACAAGTGCACGAGAGTTCTCAGGCGGCCGAGAGTTGGTCGTCAGGAGCGCGCGGGGTGGCGACAATGGCGGGACGTGCTATGAAACTGCAGAGTGAACTGTAGCTGTATCGCGGGTACCGGCGTTTCCGGCAAGCTAGTTGCACACGATGGACGGGACTCAAGGCTGTTTTTTACAATGGGCGGATCCGACAATTTCGGAAGGACACGATCGCACAAGGACGTGTGGGTGTGCGGTTGTATGGGAGCAGCTGGGATTAGCGACCTCGGCGCTATTCACCACGATGGCCATTTGGAGGTGATGACGCTGTGCTGGAGTGGGTGTACTCAGCGAGGGCGGCTTCCCGCGTGTGGAGGCATTTTTCGTGGACCAGCGATTCATACCCCCACAATCAACGGAAACGGAGGCCACCACCCCTGGGTGTGTATTAAGTGTTTTTCCACCAGTCGCCGAATGCGTTAACTGTCAGTAGCTGAAGCAGTTGATGAAGAACGACGGGAGTACTTGAGTAGCTAAGGGTTAGCGACGTTCGGGCTGCTGCTCGCTCAGCTACGTCGCCCGAAAATCACCATCCCCACCAGATAGCAGTGTCGACCTATTAATCGACGGCTTCTGGCTGAATAAGGGGGGTGAACCTGCGAACTATACTGTGCTGATAAAGTGTCCCCAAAATTTTCTGAGTTACTGTTGCAGCGGAGCTGAGGGTGTCACCAGGTGCATCAGAAGGAGGTTCCTACTTTTGCGGGTGTAGTTTGACGAGTTTTCGACGGAGGGAGCTGTCCAGCAGTCAGTAGGCGAGCTCGTCAAAGCTCATCTTACTAGAAGCGTGCGCACTCCTATCTCTGCGGATTCTTCTAGTTAGTTAAGCAGTAGCGAAGCGGTTTTCGGTAACCTGCAGCAGCAGCGAGATGGGTGAATGTCTGCACGGCCAGCTGGACAGGGGTATCAGAGAATTTCTAGAGTTGGGTAACAGCTGGGTGGAAATCGACGATGTATGATGCGCGTTGACCCCGATCGATGGCCAAAACATCATGCCGAGGCGGTGGACTCCGGTGTTCCCTAATACAAAGGGTGACGTTCATGCGTACAGCTGGTGGAGAAACCGTGGGGGCGCTGCTAAAGGAAGCCGTGACGCCTGAGTGTTTTTACGGGTAGTTGTAAAGCAGTGTTGCTGTCTTGGTTAAGTATCGATGGAATTGCGACATTTTCGGTGGGTTTGAGGAGAAGTTAAAGGGTTTACTGCTGGAGTTGTGCCCGCTATCTTCAAAGGTACGAGCAACATCGACCGATATTCTCGGAATTATTTTGGTGCATGGAGGAGTAGAAGCGCAGCAGCAGTTTCGGCTCTTCCCGAAATTTTCGGCATGTGCGGACAAAGTAGCTGATGCAGCTGGCGGCATTTGACCCCGGGTTTTGTTCGAGGATATTCATAGGAGTAGTTCGGTACAGGTTACAGGTACCGCCTCCATCGTCAATTCGCGTGATTCGCCCAACGGTGTGAACACCCATCAGGAGCGGTATCGAAACGAAAAGATTTTGCCGCAGTACTGTTGGAGCTGTCTTGGGGCCAGCTCACAAGCAGTGTTTGACTTCTGAAGATTCCTTGGGTTCGTGTGGGAGTCTTTTGGAGCAGTGATTGCGGAATTTCCAGACCTTCGACGCGGTTTACCCTGAAGACAAATTACCTGGAGCGGATTTTGGCGTCATCCTGATTCGCGTTTTTTGTGGCTGGGATACATTTTAACGCCATCCTTGAAGCTGAGTTATGGGATTTTTAAGCTGCAGATAGGTACCTCGCGTACCCTCAGGCGTTGGGTTTCTTGCGGTTTTACCTAAGCTTCTGGGAGCTGTTTCTTCCAAGAGGTTGGAGAAGTGCAGATGTGCTGCAATTTTCTGTCTGACCCTTCGGCATGTTCGATCATCTATCTTCGAGCATCAGTCGTCACCGTTACGCTTCCGCGCCTAATTTCGTCATTTCGTTGATAGAGTTTGCTGACTTTCGTGGGACACAGACACATGCTCTCGCATGTGACACAAACGACCTCGTGTTTGATGAGCGGGTTCTTCATTTCATCGACCATCACGTTAATCGCCAGTCATCATTTCAAGATATTCATCTGCAACACGTCATCATAACCCGCCCACGCGATAGTCAACTATTCAACAGCATCGGTCATCTTCACCATTTCGTCACTTGGGAGTTTTTCGCCATTGCCCGTTCAGTAAGCTGAAGAAGTAGATAATCTTCAGCGACTCAGACCGATTACGATCGCTGCGACATGCCTCAGCCGTTGGATGGAGTTTTACCTCATGAAGTCTCGTCATCATTGCGCTCATGAAGATCTGACGATCAAGATTGACCGCGATCGTTTCGATGCTTTCTGACCATCGATTTCAGTTCGACCTCAAGACCTCGTCAGGACGGCGTAATCATTACGCTCGTCACAGGGCTGAAGACTTACTGTCATATCGGAGATTACCTTTTATGACTGTTCGGCCTCGATAAAGGGAATGCCCTTCCTTTAGAAGTTGGGAGAGTGTAAGGAATTCCGATTCCTTACTGGGGCTCGCCACAGCGAGAACACGCGAACCTCTCGGTTCCGCAGGCTCGGCCCTCAATTCACGCGCCAAACCAGCCCCCGTCAACCTCGACAGCCCCAACCTCATCCCGAGTCACCCCGAACCCAATTTGACCCCGTCACCCTCGGGACTTTTGAGCCCTTGACTGGTCCAACCCTCGACATTTAACCTGGTCAACTCGCACTATACAAGCCCTAGGCCTCATTTCTATCGATACACTCCATAATCACGTACCCCTATAGTATACTGCGCTATACTCTGATGTAACGAGTCACGGAAGCGGTTCGGCCAAACCCACTCACGATGTAAAAATCGTGACACGAACACCTCGCGAAACTACTGGCGAAAACGCTGCAACCAGGTTGCAGATTGAAGCGATCCAATGTGTGGTCCGTAGGATGTTCTGGATTGAACTGCAGTAGTGCGCTTTGCGGAAGCGGTTGATTGGTCGATGAACCCTGTCACAGTGAATGTAACATAACTGTCTTGATTATAGCCGGAGGATACAGTTGTTATGATTGATACAAGAGAATGCGAAGGATCTAACTAAGATGCACTTAACAGGGGTACATTCCGTTTAGGGTTTCTAGATCCGACTCGGGTAACTATACACGACTCGAATAACTGTCTGCATTGTATTACAGGGTCAGTTATGTGTCCTTGCTGTCGTGACAGACCCTTGAACTTCTATCGGTTCGACTGTTGGTCAACTATCAACGATCGTTGCACTTCGTACCTCGCGTCATAGGCTTGGAATCGACAACGGTTACAGCTCGAGTGTCACTTTCAGGAATGTAACAATTTCCTTATCGTAACACTCCCCTTTATTGCTGAGAGTGCTCGAGCTTGGAGCGCTTGGAGATTCCACAGAGCTCGGCGCAGTGCAGGTACTGTTGTCGTGGCAGCTTCTTGGTGAGGAAGTCGGCTGTCATTTCACCATTGGGACACTATGTCAGATCCACTTTCCCTTAGTCGATTTCGTCCTTGACAAAGAAATAATGCAGAGCGATATGTTTTGTGCGATTGGCGAAGCCGAGCTTGCTGGCGATCTTGATGGCGAACTTCGGTTGACGTAGTGTAACTTGAATGTAGGCGAAGTACGGAGTTTCACCTCCTGCAGCAGTTCCTGTAGGTAAAGGCCTTCGCGAGCATAGGAAGTTCTTGCGATGTACTCTGCTTCAGCTGAGGAGAGGGCAATCAGTTCTTGTCTCTGTGAGTTTTAGGAGATGGGTCAAGTAGGCTCCAGGCGAAAGAGGAACCCCGTGCAAGAGCGGCGATTAGTGGGGTCTGCGGCGTGGTCTGCGTCGGCGTAGCCAGTGAAATTGGAATATGGGTGTAGTGATGGTAAAGTAGGAGAGGCCGTTGTGGGGACTCGAAATGAAATAGAGGAGGGCTCGCTGTAGATCTACAAGGTTCTCCCCCTCAGGTCGCCGAGAGTACGGGGCGAGCTGGCTGGCGATGTAGGATAGGTCGGGCCTGCATGTGACGACGGCGAACAGCACGCATCCGAGCTGCTGCTGGTAGAGTTGGTGGGTGGCAGGAGCGAGAGTCTTGGTGTCGGGTTTGTAGCCGGCAGCGGGAGTGCGGTA